AGCCCGGGCCCCTCGGAAGGGCAGGGAGCAGGGTCACGCCAYGGAGATGGGGACAGGGCGGGCGCGCCGGGGCCGCAGACGGGGGCACTTGGCGCAGGGAGCCCCTCTCCAAGAGTACCGCTGGTTGGGGAAGGGGCCCCCTTTCCTTGTGCCCTGCCATGCAGGAGGGATGCCCCTGTGCAGGGCAGTGCTTGGCAGGAGTCCTGTGTCCCCCTTCCTGCTCTGCATGGGGGTGTCCCCACACTGCCCCAGGCACAGGGGGCACCCGTTGAGATGTGGGTCCCCGGGCACAGGGGACACCCCACAGAGACGTGGGCGTCGGAGCTGCCATCCGTGTTGCATGGGCACACACAGGCCCGAGGCAGCCCCACGGCTCCGTGTGCCCACGTGCCCGTGTGCCCATGTACCTGTGCACCCCGAGCTGCCGCCTGGCCCCCGCGCCTCACRCACCCCGACGCCTGCCCGCGCTGGGGAGCCCGGGCTGCTCGTGGCAGAGGAAACCGCCAGCGACGCGACACCCCGACACACACGCGCGCCCCGGGGGACACACGCACCCACACGCGTGGTGCGTGCATGGGTGTACGCCACCAAACACCCCCAGAACCACCCTGGGCACTCCTGGGAGCTCCTGTTCACGCTCCCCACTGYCTGTGGATGCATGCGTGCACCCCACGGGGTAGGAGCACCCACGTGCAGTGCAACCCCTGGGAACCCCTGTTCGCACACACGTGCATCAGGGACACACACACACGAGCCCCCAGGGCACACGAGTGACTGCAGGACCACACAACCATGTGTCCCCAGGCGGTGCCACCCTGGCCCCCGTGTCCCCCACGCACGTGGGGGCGCCCCACGACCGCAGGCGTCCCCCTGCAGAGCAGCTCCCTGCCCCAGCACACGCTGGCCGGTCAGCGCCGCGCAGTGACACTGCCCTCGGCACTGCCCCAGCGCCGTTGGCACCCGCGCCGCTGGCACRGCCCGGCGGGCGCCATGGAGCCAGCGGAGCGGCACACGCCGGCCCGCCCGCCTCGGGAAAGGCTAAGGGAACAAGTGACGCCGCTGCAGTGGGACCAGCCAGGGACCAGGAGCGGCTCCGCTGGCTGCCCCAGTGTCCCCAGCACAGGCACCAGGGGATGCCCGGCACGCACAGGGATCCCCGCACCGYGCGCCACGGGGACACCAGGATGCCCAGAGCCCCCTTGCCTGGGGCCCAGCGCGCAGCCCCCCGCAGCCCCTCCAGCCACACAGGGCAGGGGCAAGTGGACATTAAGGGAGAGGGGGGACCAAGTGGGGGTCACAGTGCCACTTTGGGGGGGTGCAAGAAGGACATGCTCCCACACTGGACAAGCATCCACACGCTTGAACCCCCCATGCCCACAGAGGCACTGCAGCCTGCATCCCCCCCGACATGCACCCCAGCTCTGCGCCCCCCGTGCTCGCAGACCCCCTCCCACCCCCCGATACCCGCTTACCTCCCGCCGGCGGCAGGCGCGCAGGGGCAGCAGGCAGGACAAGAAGTACTTCCCCCAGCGCACCAGGGCGGCAAAGCACCAGCCCAGGCGGGTCATGGTGCCCCCCGGCCGCGGGGCGCCCGCCCGGGGGCTCGGGGGGGTCCGGCTGCGCCGCGGGCGCGCGGGGGGCGGCAACCCAGGCCGGCCGTGCCCGCCGGCCGCGCGGGAAGCGCCCGGCAGGTGCCCGGCAGCCGGTGCCGGCCGCACCGCCAGGGGCCGGGGGGCTGCGCTGCCGCCGCGCCGGGTCCCCCCGGTGCCCCCGCGTCGCCTGCGCGCTGGCGGCCAGGCAGGGAGCACCGTGCCCGCCCATGTCCTGCAGTGCTTGGGTGGGAGCCAGCGCCGCCGCGCTCCCCCGCCGCCGCCGCCGCCTCCCGCTCGGCTTGTGGCGCCCCAGCTCCCTGGGGCCGCTGCCCGCCCCGGCACGCGCGCCCGCCACGCGGGGTGCCTGCTGGCAGCCCCCCCGGACCCCTCCTCGCCTGGGGGTGGAGGAGCCCGGGATCGAGCACAGCTCCTGCAGTGCCCCCCAGCTCTGCCTCCGTGTCGCTCTGCCCCCCAACACGAGCCCCATGGCGGTGCCTGCCCATGGGGAGACCCTTCCCCTCCCCATTGGAGACCCCCGCTCAATGCTGCAGCCGGATCTGGTGCCTTCCTGAGTGTCTGCCCTGGGGATCGTGGGTGTCCCCTCCCCACCTGACCCACAACTGGGTTCCCCCTGCAGCTGGGGGTCCCCACAAAGGCAGGGTGCCCTACTAAAGGGCTGCAGTGTCACCCAGGGTGGCTCTGCGCCGCAGGGCACCCCAAGGACACCCCTCGCCACCCACACGGGGCTTGCACAGCAAAGGGAGCCCTCAGCCCCAGCCCATGTCAGTGGCGACGTGACCCTCTCCCTGCACCCCCGTCACAGTGTCACCCCCAAGGGCGCGGGGGGCAATGGGAGCTGCGGCTGCGCTCCGGGGTGGCCGTGCCAGGCGCTGTGCAGATCTGCAGGGTGGCACGAGGCTGCCGCGACCTGTCCCCGAGGCGGCTGCGCAGCGTGGGCAGCGGCTCTGCCAGGCTGGGCTCTTTGCTAATTCCATTTGCCCCCCCGCGCCAGGGAGCTGCAGCACCAGGAGGGGCTGCCCGGGCAGAGGGGTGCAGGGGGCAGGCGGAGAGAGGGGGGGTCCCCAGCAGCGTCACCCCTGTGCTGCACGGCCGGGCGGGGGGCACACGGGTGCCAGGTCGCAGCCCCCTCCCTGAGCACCGCGCAGCGACGTCACCACCAGCCCCACCACGTCCCCCCCCTCCAATTTAATTAGCAGATGGCCCCCGAGGCGGGAGCCCCCCTCGTCGGGCAGCGCCAGGCCCGCGCAGGGCCATTAGCTTTATTGGCCGCGCTGAACGCGGGCCAGGCCTGGCTAATTGAATTGCGCCCGCGCCAAGGACGGCCGCGCGTCCCCTCCCCCAGCCCCCCTCGCCCCTGGCCGCCACAGCAAAGGGGACCCCAGGGCTCTTGTCCCCCTTCCTGCTGACAGGAGGACCCCCGCAGTGCAGCCCAGCACAGGGGTCCTGGTCAGGCTGCGGGTGCCAACGCGGGGGTCGCTCTGGGCGCTGCCGACAGCCCCCCCATGTCCCCACGCGGCCGTGGGGCGCCCGGCACCCCGAGCGCTGCCGGGGCGGGCGGCCCTGCGGAGCGGAGCCGGGCGGGCGCGCGGGCCCCGGCCGGCACCACTTCCTGCTTTCGCTTTGGTGCCGAGCCCAGGCCTGGGCTGGGGGTGGCGGCGCCCCCGGCCCCGCAGCCCTAGGGCGCCCAGGTAGGGGCGGCGGCGGCCGCGGAGGGCAGG